TGACTAAAATCAACCTCCAGCCCCTCTTCCCTCTGCAGAGGTTGCAGGGTGGAGCTGAAGGTTCTAACCCTCTAATCAAGGCTTGGTCCTCTGGCAAGCAGCCCCCATACTGAAACTATTTACAGGCCCACCAAGAGTCGTCTCATTAGAACAAAAGACACTCCTATCATCCCTAAAGGATCTCTGTACCAAAGACCAAATATCTCTCTGTGGCACAAGAGAGTTCGAGCGCCAAATAGAAAGTGGGGAAGCACTAGATGATCTCTAAAGTCTTACTGGCCCTTAGAGAGCAAGCATTTGTATTTGAACACGTGAAATCAAAGGGGAGCTGAGTGGCAGAGGCTCCAGAATTGACACAGGAGGAGGACTCAGTGCAGCAATCTTGTCGGGCGTGGAGATGGAAGACATGTCCCAAAGTTGCCTATGCCTCTCGAGCTCCTGCTTTCGTTTTATGTGTATTGGGGATAGGGGAGGTTGGTATGGGATGATGAAGATTATGGGAGATCAGAGTCCATCTAAGCCACCTTTGACTCTCAGGCCTGGGGAGGAATTACAAATGTGGTCTAATGCTCAGTTTGGAATTGTTGGCTTTGCATCCATGCACCTCTCTTTCTCATCTCCCAAATCCTTTGAGGAAGTTGGGTGGTGAAAACGTACTTATGTAAGTGGGGAGGGAGAGTTGTGCAGAGCTAGGACGAGGCTGAGTTCTGCCTCAGAGGTGACATGAAAAAGATCCAGGAGAGCACTGTAGAAAGAATGACGATCCATCAACTGACTCATTTGTAGGAGCAGGATCTAGGAGCCAGAGGTGATGGAGAAAACCAAAGCTCTCCTCCTGGCCCCCAGTGGGAACCTGATGGAGCCTAGCAGAAACCTTCACATTTCTACAGCGCATGGTGTGGGAGGGGCCTGGAGGCCTGGTCTCTGGAAGGACTAGACTGGCAGTGCTGAAGCTTTTCATCCTCAGGACCCCTGTACAAACTTGAAAAAGGCAAGGATCCTAAGAGCTTTGGTGTATATGAGTTATATCTATTAACAGTTACCATTTTCGAGATTAGAACTAAGAGTGGTAAAAATAATTAATTTGAATTTACTTATTTTAAAATAATACATCCATTAGCTGTTAACAAAAATAGCATATTTTTGTGAAAAACAATTATATGCACCAAAAACTATATTGGAAGAACTGGTATTGTTTTACATTTTTTGCAGTCTCTAATGTCCAGCTTTATAAAGGCAGCTGGAATTGTATTGCTATCTCAACATTCAGACTTGTAATAATGCACGTTACATAACCTCTGGAATATTCCACCATACTCTTATAAAAGAATGAAGATGAAAAAGGCAAATAATGTCTTAGCATTATTATAAAGAGTTTTGACTTTGTATGCCTTCCACTTTGAGAACTGCTACACCAGACTGTAGTGAATTTGTCCATGTTTGTCTGATCTTTCTTTGGTCTTTCTTTTTCCTGTCCATGTGACAAGACAATGGCTGGTGAGGTGCAGGACGGGTGGCACTTTGTTCAAACAGTGTCTTCTTAAATGTTTCATAGAATTCAAAGTCCCGCAACAACAAGGCTAATTCAAAGAATACTGGGTATTCTCACATAACAGCCTGTAATGCCAATGAGCAATAGAATAAGCGCAGTTTCCAACGCTCTGACCAAAGGAGTTAAAGAGAAATTTTGGATGAATTGTTGATTTAGAGGAGGAGCTGGTATCACTTCAGTAAGTCATAAAAAATAAGATTATATTAATATTTTATATTGCACTATTTTAAATTTGCATAATGCTGAGTCTTCACTGTGAAGAAGGAGGTCCTTGACAATGATTGGTGAGGGGTAGGGAGGGAGAATGGTAAGAAGACACAAAGTTCCTTGCAGGCAAGCAAGCAGAAACACCATAAAACTGAACTGAAATTCCAGTCCTCTGAGATCTTCAAAAATGGAAGAAACCTTCCTTTCTTTCCTCCTCTGGTTGCAGCTCAGGCTGATGAGTTGAAGCTCTGTCTGAGGCCTGGCACTGTTAGGATGTCCCCCAGGGTCGTTTCCACCCCAGTTCTGGGGCTCAGGGGGCTCCTTGCCTCTGATTTCCACCACTGTGTCTGAGTTTCAGGGGAGGACACATGGGAGAGCCATCCAGGTGCACCTCTCCAGGTGTGGGTCACTGGCCCATGAGAGGAAAATCATAAATGATGGAAGCACTAGACACTCATTAGCTGAGTGGTTTATTAAGAACTGGTGAAGGTTCTCTGCTCCCAGGCAGCTATTATTACAGAAAACATGTAGGCACAGTGTCTAACTCCATCATGCCTAAATGCCCATCATTTCATGCTTATCCTGTGCATAAAGTTCTGTGAGCAGCAGACAGTTGTGACATTTGATAAAAGGCCAGTCTCTGTTGACAAGAGGAGAACATCTGTCTCAAGCAAATGAAGGTCATCATTAATAATCTATGGATCGGTAGGGGTTAGGCATCCACACACACTGATTTTCGGGAGGAGCATGCCCTTTTACCCTGCAGGGATTGTTTGGGTATTCTGAGTTTCCGTGTATTTTAGTCCCAAATTCAGGTTCATGGAAACCACTGACAAAATAGACTCTTTTAAATCAGACTCCTGGTTGGGACTTTCTTTCTTATTTTTCTTCCTTTTGTTTAACTTAAATTTTGAGATAATTGTAGATTCACAGGCATCTGTAAGAAATAATACAGAGACATTCCACGTCCCCTTTACCTAATGTCCCAAATGATAATAATTAATATTTTGCAAAACTATAGTACAATATTATAATTAGGACTTTCTTAAAAGACTCAGATGAGGAACTCTTGAGACTTTCCTGGCCCCAGAAGGAAAAAATTCTGGGGAATGGTGAGCTGTCTGCCTTTGGAAGGAAGGCCCACCAGGTAAGAAACTGGAGGCTGCAGGGATACATCGGGGTTCCCCAGCTGGAAGTGGCAGATGGTGGTGCAGATTCCAGGGCCTCCCTCAGAACTCCAACCTGCATGAGGACACCTGGGTTCCAGGGATGCAACACTGCTCTCTGCCTGGCCCCTGTGGCTTTGGGTGGCTGTGTCCCTCAGTGCTTCGGCTGGCTCTGCTGAGTTCTGTGGTTGAGACGCCAGGCTCTGGAATCACACAGCTCCAGGCTGAAGTCCTAGGTCATCACTTTACAGATGGTCTTTGCCAGTTACCTCTTACAGCCTCAGTTTTTCATAGTAGCTTCGGTAACACTTACCATGTGTCACTATCCAAGGAAATTTACATAAGAATTCGTTTCATGCCAAAACTCTATGGGAAGATACTATTATTAGTTTCTATGCTGCAAATGAGAAAACAGGCACAGAGAGGTTATTTGCCCAAAGTCACCCGCCTCCTGAATGGCACGGTGGGAATTTGAACCCAAATAGTGCACATCCCAAGTCCACATATTTAGCCACTGTCCCTTATTGATTCTTGTCAACTATGAGGCAGGTTCAGGAGTACCTCATTTTCTTTACAAGGCAAATTAATTAGCACAGTGCCTGGCACAGAATAAATAAGAACCCATACATGCCGGATAACATTGTTGGCATAACTTTTGGAAGTTTCTGAGTATTCGCGACTTATTCTTGTCATTAACAACAGCTCTTTTTTCCTGATCCTCTCCTCCTACCTTCCGCTCTCCAAAAGGCCCCAGTGTGTGTTGTTCCCCTCTTTATGCCCATGTGTTCTCGTCATTTAGCTCCCACTTATAAGTGAGAAAATACAGTATTTGGCTTTGTGTTCCTGTGTCAGTTTGCCAAGGATAACATTAGGCCTCCAGCTCCATCCATGTCCCTGCAAAAGACATGATCTCCTTCCTTTTTATGGTTATATAATATTCCATGGTGTACATGTATCACATTTTCTTTAGTTAACAGGTATGAGACTTAATACCTGGGTGATGAAATAACCTGTAAAACAAACTTCCGTGACACAAGTTTACCTGTGTAATAAACCTGAACATGTACCCTGCAACTTAAAATAAAAGTTAAGAAACACACACACACACACACACACACACACACACACACACACGGAGAGAGAGAGAGAGATAAAAGCTATAGTTGCCATTTTGGACACCTCTGATGTGTCAAACATTCCTTCAGCTCTCCCAACTACCCAGAAAGAGTCCTTCTTTTATAGATGGAAAAAAAAAAAAAAAAAAACCTAAGAATAAAGAAGATGAAATCAGGCAGAGGTAGAGACAGAGTTCAAACCCAAGGGCTGCATCTAAGACTCACAACACTGGAAACTTCAGAGACACCAGCCTAACTTCATACTCGAATGATGACGCACCTGCTTGAAAAGCCTGGCAACAGGGCACTCACTTCCTACACGGGTAGCTCTCCGGCTCCAGGTGAGGTGTGGCAAAGGATCCCCTCGAGCCGTTGTTAGAACACAGAGCATTGCTTCCCCACCCCACGAAAGGCTTTTGGCTTGATGGGGCTGGGACAGGGGCCTGAGTGTGTGCATTTCTTACAAGCTGCCACAGCTGCTGGTCCCGGGACCACACTTGGGCAGTCATTATTCTAGGAAAAGTTGCAGTGGGAATGGTAAAGGTGATGGCTTCTTCTCAGTTTGCCGTTTTCGAATCTAAGATAGGCTTCCCCAGCAGACTCAGTGCCGGAGTCCCTATCTTCAAGTTAAAGAGTAAATCCTTCTCTATATCATGACCTTTCCTCCAGAGGGGTTTTTAAGATTGTGTGTTCCGAGCAGCTGTCTCTGACTGCAGCGCAACTCCATCCCCAGACCCACTTCCATCTTTTTCTGTGAGGAGGACACACTCTTTGAGCTTTTCCAAAATGGCATCTACCGTTGTTTTCCTGATTAAAAACAAATAAGATAAAACACAACCTTCCTATAATCAAGAATTTAGAAAAGCACCAAAAGTAAAAAGGGAGATAAGGAAGAAAACAGAAATTAAGCACCAGCCCACCGTTAATATTTTGATAATTTCTGGTGTATTTCCATACAACTGATTGCTGTTTTGCATGTATTCATTAATATTGGAATTAAAAATATATATGATACTTCATATCCTAGAAAATAGTAATACTGTAAATGTGTTCTCGAAATGGGAGTTGCTGTTGTTCTTATTAGAGAATTCAAACCAAGATCTGAGGTTCGCTGAGGACAGCTTTCTGGGGGAGGATGGATAGCCCTTTGAGTCAACAGGGAGAGTACAGACACAGAGGTGACAATCACCATTCTCTGTGGGGCACACAGTGATGCAGCAGAAAACAGGGATGAGTCAGTTGAGTGGGGACAGGTAATAGAGAGCTATAACTGGCTAGCCTGATGGCCTCCAAGGCACTGGGGAACCATTGTACATTCTTGAGCAGGAAATGATTTCACAAAGGGATGTATCAAAGATCAGTCCTCCAACAGAAGACAGGGCAGATTGGGGTGGAAGAATGAGAGGGCAGGTGGAGAAGGTATGGGTCTGCAAGTGGGGAGCAGCCCTGGGGGTCCAGCTAGTGCCCTGTGGCCGGACAAGGGGTATGGCATGGATGGCTCTACTTCTGGGCTGCCAGGATGGACAGGTACTGGTTGCTCTTCACCATGGCGATAATGAGGAGGCCACCGGTCAGCAGGAAGGTGGGCCAGAAGAGGGAGAAGAGGAGGGCCTGGGGCCCATAGAGGCGCTGGTACAGGACGCTGGTCTCGTTCACCAGAGTTGTTGAGAAGCAGTAGAAGACCTGCTTCGCTTGGAATTTGGCTCTGACCTTCTCCACGTCGGCCCGGGCCGTCGGGTAGTTGTCCAGGCTGTTTGGGATGTAGGAGCACTGTGGGGAGAAGCAAGAGCACGTGGGCTTGGAAATTCCCATTTCTTAGAAGCCAAGGGCTTGATATGGAGTAAAGAAAAATACCAGCTCTGTAGCTGGGCCCCTGGATTGGAGTCAGGACTTCTGTCTAAAGCTTGGCAGGCCTTGCGCTGTGCAGGCCTAGAAAGCACACTCTCATTTGTGTTGTGTGTGTGAATGGGAGTGCTGGAGCTGATCGGGGTATAGGCTGCACACCTAGGCACAGGTCCTGCCTTGGAGTCCTGGCTCTGGTTGGATTGCCTGTAGCATCTTTGGCAAATTGCTCACTCTTTCAGAGTCCTGATAGCTTCATCACTTAAATGGGTGAATAGCAATATTAGTTTCAAAGGATATTATTAAAGAAGGACTTCAAACAGAGCTATCTAAGGAAACCAGGGAGGGACACAGGGGGTGTGTTTTTGAATTAGAGATCACGTGCTCAATTGCCTACAGGGCTCATGCAGGTATTGTCAGCGAGTGAAGCAGGCAAAGCAATAAGATGACAGGTGTCCACCGACACTTGCCTTGGTGCCAGGAAGAATTGTCAGGGAGTGGCAGGGCCTGACGATAGGGAGAGAGCCAGCTGTCTCCAGACAGCCAGTCAGCACTCCCTCCAGACAATGGAAGCCAGACCATCCAGAAGATCTATCATAGCCAGGCCTCCAACATGTCAAGAGAAGTCAGAAACCAGATCAGACCTGTCATCCCAACACTTTGGGAGGCTGAGGGGGAAGGATCCCTCGAGCCCAGGAGTTCCAGACTAGCCTAGGCAATATAACGAGACATCATCTCTACAAAAAAAAGTTAAAAGCTACCTAGGTTGGCATGGTGGTGTGCACCTGTAGTCCCAGCTACACGGGAGGCTGAGATGGGAGGATCGCTTGAGCCCAGGAGCTGGAGGTTGCAGTGAGCTCTGACCTCGCAACTGCAGTCCAGGTCAGGCAACAAAGCGAGAGCCCCATGTCAAAAAAAAAGTAAAATATTATCTAAATTTAAAATTGAAGACCTTTGCAGTCTCAACCTGCGTACGGCAAACAAAATATGTTGGCAAGCCAGTATTTGACACTGGGATCTAAAGGAAAGAAAGGATGCATTGAAAAGAGTTTAGTGCCAGCAGAACATGACACACATTTAATTCTCATGTTCATCATTGTTGTTAGAAACCTTCTGCCCTGTCAGGTGAGGCCAGCTGGAAAGCGCTGCAAAGCAGGCATAAAGTGGAGACCCTGGTTTTACCTCTGTTCTGTGCTGCAAGTGTGGTGTCCCCATCTGCAGCAGAACACCTACAGAGTCCCCACAGCCCAGGTGCCTACCCACTCTGCATCACTGAGGGTGGGGCCCAGGAATGCGTGATTCCTTCAGGCACTTAATTTTGCTCTAGTGAAATCATGTCCAAGACCAAAATGTGTAAAACTGAGACCCAAAGGGCAGGTGTTGAGCCAGATTCTCCCCAGACCTCAGCCACTCCCCGGGTTTATATGAGGCCCCACCCTGGAAGCTACCTGTTCTGAGGGCATTCAGCCTAGCAGCACAGGGAAGGGTTGCACTGTGATTCTCACAGCCTGGGAGATGGGGGTGCTGCACTCAGATGTAGGGCCCCAGCCAGCGAGGGGGCAGCTGAGGCTGGGGAGAGGCTGGCTCCTGAGGAATCTGGCATTCAGAACTGTTAGGCACTGCCAAGTCCACAGTAGCATACAATCCAGCGTCCTGAGCTGAGGGTGAGGGAGCCTGGCCCGAGTCTCTCCAATGTCTCTGGCTGTGACCTTGGCCAACCTAGCTCCTTAAGCAACAGTGTGGCTAGGGAGTCAGACATGCCTGAGTTCTGAACCGTGTGACCTTGGAAACTGCCACAACCTCTCTGGGCCCTGTAAAATGAGTTCATGAGGCTGTCTGCCTAGGAGAACTGTCATGGAGATTAAACAGGATGATGCATGTAAAGTACTGAGCACAGAGCCCAGCACATGATAAGAACGCAAAAAAGTGGAAGATGCTATTCTTATTAATAATAATACGTTTTGACTTATCTATGAAATTGCAACAACAGCTCCTTCTTTACCCTCTTAAAAAGAGGCCTATGGATGAGCTCTGAAGTGGAGGCTTCTGCCCATCCTCTGCCTGCTCAGGGTTCCTCTGGATCTTTTATGCTGGGCCTGTTTGGCAAGACACTGGGCAGGAATTCACGCTTCATAGCCAACCCCTGAAGCCAGGGCCTGGCTGTGTCCTTTCTCTCCTGTCCTGGGTCCAGCTAAGCCTGAGTTATCGGAATGATCTGAAACCACCCAGCTTTTTCCCAAGCCTTGCAGTGTAAGGTCCTCAGGGCAGACAATGGGAGGGGATTTAGAACTCACCTGCTCTAGACTAAGACTTGGGAAAAGCTGAGGGCAGACTGTGGCCCCTAACTTCAGAGTTGGGGTGGGATGAGAGCCTTCTTGGCCTTCCACAATGATTCCAGAGGACACCCAGCTAGCCTGGAGCCCCAGCTCCTTGAACCCCTATGCTGGACACAGGTGGAAGGAGCAGCTGGCCCACAACCCAGCTACTTGGCAAAAACACACAGGGCATTTCCACTGCTACCTCCCAGCCCCTGCAGCCTGCTATCAGCACCATGCCTGGTCAAGCCTGGGTGGCAGAGGAGAGGACAGCGGTGGCTCCAGCACCATCCTTCCTTCACATTCTGCTGAGCTCATTCAGGGGATGCCCCTCTGAGCTGGCGATCTCAGAACTGGGGAGGCAGCCTGAATACCAGCGTGCTCCCGGCCCATATCACAACCAGAGAATGCCACCAGTTATTGAAAATGTGTTTCCTGCTCCTGGGATAAATCAAGAGCTACTGAATGCCAAAGAAGAGATGGGTCATGAGTAGGAGCTACCTGCAGTGGCCCTGAGACCTCTCTCCACCAGGAGGGGCTGAGTCACACTAGCAATGCCTGAGCACCTGACCATCCTCCACTGCCCAGACCCACTTCTCCTTGACCTTCAGCACTCTCTAGGTCCCACAGCCTCCATGCCTCACCCCAGGCACACTGCCCTTTCCCATCCCATTAGCCATCAAGTCCTGATTGTCAGCATCTCCCCTGCTGCAGGCCCACACCTTGGTCCTGAGCGCTTGCTGTGGTGTTGGCCCCTCTGGCTAATAACTGGACCCCCACACCTGTAAGCTCCATCTTCCCGGTCCAACTCTGATTATGCCCTAAGAACTTTCATTGCCCACAGCCATAATTTCCAACCATAGAATCACCTTGGGAGGTCCACAAATGGATCTCTGATCAGAGATCCTGCCTTTATAGTCTAGTGTTGGACCCTAGTTTTGTTTTTTTAAGACTCTCATATGGTGCTAACGTATAGCCAAAGTCGACATATCTTGAGACATCCACACTCACATTTTAATTCCATGTTGTGATGATCAAAGGCCTCTGGGAACAGACCTTAGTCTGCCCTGGCAGCCCCTTCCAGCTGCATACACCCCATCATGGGTCATTTTCTGTAGTCAGCCCTCTGATCCCTGCCTCCACCTAGCCTTTCCCTCCGCCATGCCTCGTCCTATACTACTTTCTATATGCATCCTCCTTCTCTGTGCCTTACATCCTGTGCCTGCCTGATGCTAACAGCCTAAGCCGGCGGGCGCGGTGCCTCACGCCTGTAATCTCAGCACTTTGGGAGGCCAAGGCTGGTGGATTATGAGGTCAGGCATTCAAGACCAGCCTGGCCAACATAGTGAAACCCCGTCTCTACTAAAAATACAAAAAATTAGCTGGGCATGGTGGTGGGCTCCTGTAATCCCAACTACTTGGGAGACTGAGGCAGGAGAATGGCTTGAACCCGGGAGGCGGAGGTTGCAGTGAGCTGAGATGGCAACACTACACTCCAGCCCAGACAACAGTGCAAGACTCCGTCTCAAAAAAAAAAAAAGAAAAGAAAAGAAAAGAAAAGAAAAGAAAAAGAAAGAGAAAAAGCCTAACCCAAGAGCCTTTCTGGTACTCCCATTGTTGATTGTTGTCAGCTGGAAAACATACCCCTCCTCTAACCCCCATAACTTCATGTTTTTCTCCATGGTGCCAATCCCTCCCTGCTAGGCACTGTTCATGCACGAGCTCTCTCCTCTTGAGTCCTATAGGCTTCACACAGGAGATGCTCAATGGCTGTTGAATAAATAAATGAGAGAAGGAAGGGAGGGAGGGAGGGAGGAAGGAAGGAGAGAGGGAGGGAGGAAGGAAGGAAAGAGAGAGGGAGGGAGGAAGAAAAAAAGAAAAAGAAATAAAAGAAAGAAGGAAGAAAGAAAGGGAAAAAAGAAGGAAAGAAAGAAGGAAGGAAAAGAGTGGGCCAAGTGATGGTTTTAGGAAAGGATATGGTGGTGAGTTTTGCTTTTTGGAGGGGGAGGATGGGATGTTGGGAGGGGAGGCTGGGAAAACCACCTAAATGTTTGTTTATGGAGGTTACTCCAGCCCTGGGTCCCTGATTTCCTGGGGAGCTACAGGGATTCCACTTGGGGGGCTGGCCCTGGGCCTGGTCCCTCATTTGACTAAGGTTGTAGAATGAAAGCAATAACACTAATCACTGCTTCTGTTTGAGCGCCCACTCTCCTCCCAGAATCGAGCGTGGCACTTTATATACAGCGTCTCTGACTTGCTAACAGCACCTGAAGGTGCATCGCTAGCATCCCACGTTACAAGGGTGGAAACTGAGGTGGTGAGGGCTAAGTGGCCTGCCTAGGTTTGCACAGCCAGTTAGCGGCAGATTCAAACCCAGGTCTGTGTGACTCCAACACAGAACAGCTAGGGCTGGCTCAATCTCATTCCAGCTGTGAGACCTGGCCAAGTGGGTTGATCTAGTCAGCCTCAGGGACAGGGTCGTTATGTACAGGCTCACACACCTGACAGGGATAAGGGGATGTGTCCCCATCCCCCCAGTTCAGTACCTGCTGGTTCTGGTCCAGAGTGTCCTCCGTGTGGTACAGCACAGCCCACCTGCCTGCAGCTGACACGTTGACCCACAGGCACGGGTACTGGGGCACCTTCTTGCCCTTCAGCTCTTCCTGGTCCCTGATGTTGGTCTCAATCAGGTGGCACATGGATTCCTCGGTCCATATGCTAAGGAGACCACACACACGCACACATACATATCTCGAAACGGAATGACACACAGAACACCTGTTTGAATCCCTGATCCCCTAGGAGCCTTTGAAGGGATCCAGGGCTGGGCTCCTCATCTTGTCTTAAGCATCTAGCAATGAAAGCACATGACCCCAGAGTCCCTGGACACAGGGAGGAATTGTAGAAGCTGGTTGGGGTCTTGGACATTATCTATATAAATCGTTCTCAACCCTGGCTGCTTGCCCCCAAACCTGGGGTGCTTTTAAAAAGATTTGCATGTCCAAGTCACACCCCAGAGCAAGTGAATCAGAATGCCTCCGGTGGCTGGGTCCAGGCCCTGGTGTTTTTTTTCAAAGCTCACTGATGTGATTCTGACAAACAGCCAAACCTGAGACTCTCTTATCCACATCGTCTTGTCTTGCAGAGTCAGAAGAGAAACTCAAAATGGTCAAGTGACTTTGCTGAGGCCATCCAGGACCTGAAGCTAGGTCTGAGTGGCTTCGAGAGCTGTGTTCTTTCCCCTAAAAGGAGCAGATAGATGGAGGAGGGGCTTGATTTGAGCCAGGATGGGAAAGATGGTGGGGACGGTCCCTACATGGTGCCTCGCCAGGGTAAGAGTCCAGCCTGGAATCGCTCCAGTGTTGTGAAGAGTGAGGCTGCAGCAGGCCGGGGAGAGGCTAACAGGCTCATCAACATTAGTAAATCAACTGTGATTCATCTCCCATGTACCCTGCGGGAGACCCATTGCCACTCAGGAGGGGGCCGTCAGCTGCTGGAACGTGCCCAGAGCACAGGTTTGAGACTTGTCCCTAGGACAGGCTGAGAGAACTGAGTGTGTTTGTTCCAATAAAACATTAATTAGGAATTCACAGCTCTTCCTTAAATCTCGAGTGGTTGACACATCAGGGAGCAAGGGCACGGACCCTTCTCTGAGATTCCTGAGCAGAGCTGCAGGGAAGCTGTTGCTAGCTCAATGCAGATACATCAGAAAACCTCACCCATGAAATGGTATGCTCAGTGAGGCAAGGAGCTCCCTCTCACTTGAGGTATTCATCAGGAGGCTGGATGCCCACCTGACAGGGAGGCTTCAGAGGGGAGAGAGCTATGCAGCTGAGCTGTGAATGTCTGCAATTCTCTGATTCTGTCTGGGATCAAATTTGCACTGGAATGTTTGCTCTGATTCTTTGCTATTTCTTGTGAGAAAGGCATCATGTGTCTGTTGCCACCAGGTCCTAGAATCTCAGCCCAGTGGGGCTCAGTTCATCCTACCTTCCCTGCTCTTGAACCCTAGAACCTAAGACTGAGCATTGTCTTGACCCTGCTGCCTGGAGTGAGTGTGGAGGAGAGGGGAGAGGGGTGGACAGGCCAGGAGAGCTCAGTACCTTTTCTGGTAGAGGGGCAGCACAGTCGTGACCAGGATGTAGTAAGTGATGACGGCACACACCACCATGGCGACGCCCAGGCAAAGGGCTCGTGTCTCTCCCCGCTTCTGGGCCATTACCAGCTTCTTCACCATTTCCACTGGGGGCACTGGTCATTTCTAGGTCCACAGAAGCAAACAGAAGTGAGATCAGCCCAGTTCACAGGTGATCCACAGAAAGAGAGGACAGGTGAGAAAGGAGGGTACTCAAATATTAATATTATTCTTGTTTATATTTGGAGCTTTGCAACTTCCAGTGGGCTTGCTTTTTGAACCCCACGTAAACATTCCCTGTGCAATTGAGAGGCAATTGCAGATGTAGAATCTGTGGCTCAGAGAGGTAAAGCGACTTGCCCTAGGTCACACAGTAGTAGGCTCGGTAATGCCCCCCCCACCAAGGTGTCCATGTTCTAGTCTCTGGAAGCCATCAATGTTACTTTATTTGAGAATGACTTTGCAGAAGTGATTAAGATAAAGGATCTTGAGATGGGGAGACAATCTTGGATTATCCATGTAGATCCTAAATGTGATCCCAGGGGCCCTAATAAGACAGAAGTAAAGGGATATTAAACATAAAAGAGAAGGCTAGGGTGATATGGCCAGGGAGACAGTGATTAGAGTGATGTGACCACAAGCCAAGGAGTGCTGGCAGCCATCAGAAGCTGGCAGGGGCAAGGAACAATGGCTCATCCCCTACAGCCACTATAAGGAGTGCAGCCTGTGGACACCTTGGTGATTTTGGACTTCCAGTGAAATTTCTGTTTTTGGGGACCATCAGGTTTATGGTCATTTGCTACAATGGCCATAGGTCCCGCAGGGTGAGCGACCAGCACAGGTGCATCATCCATGCACCTCCTTCCATGACACTTATCTCACAGGAAAACTTGGAGCATTTCTGCCCAGGAACAGTTCTATGGCAGAGCTAGTTGGGCCAGAGAGCAGGCAGAGAAAGGAGAGGAGGGCTCCAATAGGCTGCCGCAGGTTGTCAGGAGGAGGTAGGAAGTTTCCTATATTCTGGAACACTCCTTACCACCGGCAAAGAAAGAAGAGCGAAGGCATCATGGTGGCCTCAGCGACAGCGTTCTTATTTCAGGGCTTGAAGCCACCTGGGACAAAGCGGAATGGGCACATTGCTGGTGGTGGCTTGCTTTCTCTCCACCTTCTTTAGGCAGCATCTCCTTATTTTTCCCCCAGACATTGACCCCACCCCAATGCTAGCAAAGATGCCACCCTCTCGTGCTAGGCCCTGATCACTCCCCCAGGAGTGTGAGCCTTGGCAAAGCCTTCAAGAAACAGCCCCTCAATCTACGTCGCCTGGAGCCACAGAGATGCCCAGCTGTGGTTCCCATGTGGTTTACCATGCATTCTGCAAGCTGTCCTAGAGCCTTCTGGTAAATTTATTTGCTGTTGTTTTTATTTGTTGAAGGTAACCAGAGTCCATTTCTACCAAAAATATCAGGGCCATGAGACCTGTTCACTATAATCCTCCACTTTAGGGGCAGCTTTAGCTAGGTATCAGGGAGGGCTTTATTCTCATTGCCAAGTCCCTAAAGTAATAAACATATTATTATTATTATTAATTAGTCAGTGTCCGGGAGACAGGCATTAGTCCTAAGTGCTCTATTTTCTGCTCGGGCATCTCTTAACTACTGGACTGTTTCAAATATTCTGTCAGAGATTTCTGACCCCCTCCTCTCAGCCAGGCTGCCCCCATACCCGAGCATCCCCACTAAAGGGAAAAGTCCAGGGTCAGGCACCATGGATACTCATCACACCTTCCCAGTGAGCTGGTCCACCTCCCCTATTGATTGACAGAGGTGACATCCAATGACAACTGGCACCAGGAGGTGAGCTTCCCCTACATTCTAATGAGACATTATAAAAGCACAAGCAAGCAGAAATTGCCCTTGACAAACAGAGGCGTTTAGTTCAACCCTTTTTTATTCTTTTCCTTCTGTTCTGTGGTCTCGTGGGAATGGGAGAGCCCACACCTTTTTCTACCTGGGGTCAGTTGAACAAGCCCCTCCATGAATCCACAGGTAAAGCAACAGAATTACTTGGAGATACACTAAAAGCCCCAACAGCCTGCTTCCCCAGGACCTTCAAGAGTCACTGGCACTTGGCCCCACCCCAGGGACTGTGAGACACAAATTATTTGAAGCCAGTGGGAAATCCCATTTTGAGATTTCCAAAACATAGGGCTGAGTGCCCACAACAAAGCCATTTATCTCCTGGGGGAGATGGAGCGTACCTGTGGGGGTTTCCTGTGGTATGACAGCTCCTTGCTGGTTAATCAGTCCCCCACCTCTCAGGGCCACTGCCTCCTTTGCTGTGTGACTTCTAGTGACCTCCAGTCCCCTGGGCACTCCTGAGGCTGGTGAAGGCAGGAACCTGGTTTTTCCCATTTTAGGAGCTCAGAAGAAAAGAAAAGGAGAGGCTTCCCTGTCACAGAGAAATCTGGAAAGTTGGCTTATTTGAGTCTGACCTGTCTCTAATGCTCTGATGAGATTGTCGCCTGCACTGACTGAATGGGTTTGTAGAGTCAGGATAAATCCTCTTAAGATCATGTGTGGGGTTCAGTGTAGATAAGACTTCAGTGAGAAGGTAGCATTCAGCATCCAAAGGGAGAACCTTTAGCGAGAGGAAGGATGGGAACTCTCAATATCCCCTAAGGGACAGGAAGAACAGGAAGAAGTGGATTTCAGCTATCGTAGGAGGGATTTCAGTTAGACTCTAAGAAGAACTTCCCGGTTTTGGGCATTTAAAAACATCTGTGAACTTCCAGGCTATATCTTCCCATTTAGAAAGGTCACTTGCGGTCTGGGATCGATTCAGGAAAGACGGAGAAGGACAAAGGAAGGCAGGATGTTGGAGTGTCCTGGGTACTAGCTGGGTGGACATCCTTTTCCTTAGAAAGACAAAGAATAGAGTACATTGTTTAACAGTTTGGTGGGGTGTGGACAGGGCGATTCTGAGGTCATCAGACATGGCTTTGCCATTTAGCAGCCGTGTGACGGAAATGAGAATAATGGCACTTTCCTCAGAGAGCTCAGCTAAAGATCAAATGCCATAGAGAGTATCAGGCATGTATCACAGCGCCCAGCCCCACATCAGCCCTCAGTAAATATTTGCTATTATTACTAACAAAGGAAACCCTGGTGGTTTGGAGCAGACGTCTGGACCAGTCTTGGTGAATCTATTTTTTGTCCCACCTCTTTACTGGTGACAAGTGCCAGGACTGGCCTTAATCTCCAGGCCACTCTGAGAACTGGGACTTGGAGGATCAGGGCACCTACTACCAGCGTAACCTGGCCACTGTGCCACCCTCCCTGCTGGCCGTCAGACCACAGGCCCTCCATTCAGAAGGACAGGCCTGAGAAAAACAGAGTCCTCACCACCTGCCTCCCGCCCTGCCTCGTGGCAGGCTGCTTTCCCCACAGTCTCCCTCCAGCCCCCAGTCTTGGGAGAAACCACTTCCCAAGTGCTCCAGACGTGGTACTCACAGTCTCCCCGGCGCCCTGTGGGTCTTCGGCAGCAGATGGTTTCTCTCTGCCTGGCTCCCACCCCTCCACCCCAAAAGACGCCACAGAGCTCCAGCAGGAAGTTTGGCCTCCCCGCCCATCTCCAGGGAAGCAGCCTTTGGTCCCCATCTGGGGCAAGCCTCCATGCCCAAACATGGTCAAGTCTGAGCACACAGCCTGGAGGCAAGATTCGGAGAGCAGGTACCCAGCCCTGAGCAGGGCAGCTGCTACCCAGGACCTGCACCTCCACCTTCCCCGCGTCTCATGGGAAACAGATTCCAAATGATGACAGACAGTAAGACTGAGAAATTACGAAAGATCAGCCTGGTATATTTGGAAATATTTCTTCTTTCCTCTGTCTCTGTGGGCTGGCAAAGACGCCAGAAATAGGAAATGATTTTCCTTTTGTTGGCATGAGGAAGGGTGGAGTTGACCTGGAGGGGTTGGGCTTGTCACCAGTCCCTGACATATCCACGCGGGGAGCAGCTAAACCTCCTTGCCTTCGGCACTTACATGCTGTGTGACCCTGGGTAAGTTATGGCACTTCTCTGGGCTTTGGCTTTCTTTTACTTTTTTTGTTTTTCTCCCAAACTTATCGTTAAAGGATCTCAGTTTTCTCACCTGTGTTACTGGCATTTTTAAAACTTATTTTGCTTTAGGGTAGTGATGAGGGTTAGAGATGGTGGGCATTTATGGCAAGAGGAGAGAACCTGCCTTTTAAGGACCAGCCGAGCTGAAGCTGGGAGTAGTGAGAACTCCATGACTGCTTCCAATCAGGTCCAGGGACAGCCTGCTCACCAGCCCCACTCCCACCCCCACAGAGACTGTGAAAGTACAGAGATTTGTTCCTAGCAATAAGACAAGTGAACGTCAGTATTTGCAGGCAAAACCATGCTTTTGGATCTCCATTTCTTCATCTGTAAAGTGGATGTAAGGATTAAAAATCAGCAACAAAGCGTAGGTGCGGTAGCTCACACCTGTAATCCCAGCACTTTGGAATGCCAAGGTGGATGAATTGCTCAAGCCTAGGAATTTGAGACCAAGCTGGGCAACATGACGAAACCCCGTCCCTACTAAAAATACAAAAATTAGCAGAGTGTGCTGGTACCGGCAGTCCCAGTGACCAGGGAGGCTGAAGCATGAGAATTGCTTGAACCTGGGAGGTGGAGGTTGCAGGGAGTCAAGATTGCGACACTGCACTCCAGCCTGGGCAACTGAGCGAGACCCTGTCTCATGTATACCATATAGCAGCAACGAAAACAATCCCAGATTTTGGGGCTTTCCTATCAGGCATGGTGCTAGAAGGCAGCACATCTCTACCCTTCACTTGACCCAAGGATCAAAGAATCTGAAACTGGGGCTTGGAGGCTTGAAGTCACTGGTTCAGCCCTAGGGACCAGAACTAGGTTTAAAGCTGGCCCTTCCAGATTGCACAGCTCGGTCTGTCTCTGCTGACCCTTGGGCTGCTGTAAGACATTAAAGCTCACCTCTGTCCTACAGTCAACTGCCAACTGAAGCTCTGGAGGTCACCCTGAGTTTCCCCAGCCCCAGGGAGATGGGTGCAGGCTGGCCTTTCCTGCTGAGGGAGCTTACCACCTCCCTCCCTCCTGCCTCCAGCAGGTGTGAAATGAGGGCAGCCGTTCAGGCTTCCCTGACACACTCTCAGGCGGCGAGTGCCCTTCTCCACCCCTTTCCTAATTGAATCACATTAACAGGAGACTACAGGGTCTACTTAATGGGCACGATAGCACCGGAGGGTCTAAGGCCAGCTTTAGACCTTACAGGCAGATTGACAGAGAGATGTAGGATCTGGAATTCAACCTTAGAGGAGTAATTTTCTAAGGATGATCCTCGGTCCATTTAGGGGCCGGAAGAGTCCTCCTGTGGCCCATAAACTAACCCAGGAATGCCAGCCCCCCATCCTGCTTCCCTGGGGGAGAGATACACAGTGCCACAGGCTGCCATTTATGAGTATAACCAAAGAGCTCCTTGCTCGTAATACTCTAAAAAGTTATTGAGGGCTACATATTATTTGGAATTCATAAACAAACTTTAGCATTCTTCCAAGGGAAGATGGGAACAGACAGGGAAAGGGGTCTGTGGGGTTTTCTGCTGCCCCTAAGTGAGCCACAACCAAAAGGCATCGACAAGCCTTGCCCTCGAGGATTTGTGGATGAAAACCCAGGTCCTCTGCTGGCTGTGGGGTTGTATGTGACAGATGGCTGCAGGCGGGGGCAAGAAAATAATACTGTGGCAACAGTAAATATTGATGGTTTGCATCAGTACGAGGCGTCAGAGATCAAGATCACAAAATGCCTTCTCTGACTCTTCCACCAGCTCCCTGTGGTGCCAGCACAGTCGGCTCATACTAGACCATTGAGGTAGAGATTTTTCTACCCATTTGATAGAGGGAGTAATAGAGGCTCAGAGAGTTGAAATAAATTGCCCAAGGCAAGTTACTTGGCCTCTCTAAGCTTCAGTTTGTCTGTCTCTAAAATAGAGACAATTATACCTAGACGCTCATTGTTTTGGAGGAATGAGAGATCACCTAGGCTACCTGCCACATTGTATGGAGTTTGCACTTTCCAAAGATGGTCGCACCAACATACATCCCATCCTATGTGCCCTTTTCACAGTGTGGCATCAACACTCCACCATCAAGAGGGGCATTTTTATCTCTTCCTCTTCACCCTGGGTAGGGCTTTGTAAGTGCCTCAGCAGTAGAATACGGTAGAGGGACACAGCACTATTTTCAAGGCTAAGTCACAGACGGGGACTTGGGTTCCCCGGGCATGCTCTCAGGACATGTCCTTGGAACCCAGCCACCATGTTGTAGGAAGCCGAGGCCCGGTGCTCCAGCTGACAGCCCCAGCTCAGATCTCAGCCAACAGCTAACAACTCCTACAGGGCACGGGAGAGAACAAGCCTGCAGATAGTTCCAGTAAGCCCCCCGCCTACCAGCCTCCCAGCTGAGGCCTCGGAGAACATGGAGCAGAGACAACCCACCTGTTCTGTGCTCTCTCTGAATTCCAGACCCACCAAATCCATGAGCAGAAAAAAAACTGATATTTCGTGCCCCTATGTTTTGGGGTAATTTGTTATGCAGTCATATTAACTGGAACACATTGCAAGTGATTTCAAAGACGGACTGTTACTGTTGCTGGTGATAGTGGTAGGATTATACTAGCAGGAATTAAAATGTCTGAGATTGCTATATGGGGTGTTACAGGAGAGTTTAGAAATGCTTTATCTAGGTTGACCATGGTGGCTCACGCCCGTAATCCCAGCACTTTGCAGGGCCAAGGCAGGCAGATCACTTGAGGCCAGGAGTTCGAGACCAGCCTGGCCAACTTGACGAAATACTGTTTCTACTAAAAATACAAAAATTAGCTGGGCATGTGACAGGCGCCTGTAATCCCAGCTACTCTAGGAAGCTGAGGCATGAGAATGTCTTGAGCCTGGGAGGTGGAGGTTGCAGTGAGCTGAGATTGCGCCACTGCACTCCAGCCTAGACAACAAAGTGACACTCCATCTAAAAAAAAAATGCTTTATCTACTCTTAGGTCACATACTACAGCACAAATGGAATAGAAGGGCAGTGATAAGAGAGGGTATTGAAGCAAGAAAGGTCGCAAAACAAGCCTCTGGAACACTGAACTGGGAAGGAAGTGGTGATTTATTTGGCCGGAAGCTGCGGCGGGTCTGAAAGCCCCAAATAGCCGAGCTCCCCTAATAAAGAAAATCCCTGCCCTTATGAAGGCTCACAACTTTAGAAATTACATGTGAAAGCGGTCTTGGGCTTACAACCCTAGAAATTACATGAGAGAGGGTCTTGGTCCACGGAGCAGGCATGGGGTACATGACTTAGGTGGGGGTTTGATCGTGGTTAAGTAAAAACAATGTCTTCTGGAAAGATTCCTCCACACCATGCCTGCGATCTATAGGAGGGTGATTACAAGTGGCGCCTGGTCTGCCAGCCTTTACTTCTCCTATTGAAATGCTATGTGGAAGTCAAGGGGGAGGTGGTCTTAGATGCTTAAGGGTGATTAAGGGTCTCCTTCCTCGGTATCTTTGTTTATTAAGCATCTACTATGTGCCAGGGCATGACCACATAGATATGCAATACATATACATATACATACACATACACATGGACATTCCTCTCCACGATCCCCCACGAAAGGCCTTGTTCTTTCTGTGAAAGCACCAGAGAAAGCGATTGTCCCAAGGTCACGCCCCTAGCGTGTGATGTGATGGAAACTGGAGCTGCACCTGTGTCTGCTGACTCCCCAGCCCATCCCTGCCTCTCTGTCACCCGATGAATCCCTTGGGAGCAGTTTTCAAGAGACCCCAGGTTTCTTCACGATGTCTGCTTCCTCTGCTTTCCAGACGCCCTCAGCTCAGTCTGTACCCCTCTCTGGATTATGCACCTGCTTGTTTATTTAAGTCCTTCTGAATCAATATCTGCTCTCTGCCGACACGTGAGATAATACGTCCCATAAATCAAATTGGCAGTCAGGTCTTGAGCCCCTGTGTGTGTCCCTCTCTGAATGCTGCAGGAATGGGTGTTAGCCACCCTCAGTCCCAGCAAAGCTGTGCGCTCACAGACATCTCAGCAGTTGCTGTGCAGAGACTGTGGATACGTCGCCTAGCCGAGGCCACTCGGACATTGCCCGCTCCCTGCAGAAAAGCAATGCCGGATTTCCTAAACTGCAAAAATGCAGAACAGAAAACAAAATGATGTATTTTAAATGAGAGAGAGTAATAAAAAGCAGAAGAAATAACAAGGGGAGATTTTTCAGTAGAGTTGACCAAGTACAATAGCAGGAAAAGTAAATGCCAATACTAGAATTAAATGGCAACAAGACATGACACAATAAAAAACATGATAAGGTTGTTCTCTGCCGTGTGGGGGGAATACTCACTCTCTTCTCCTCTGATTCTTTTCACCACATTTTCCTTGACCTAATTTTTCTTACTTTAGCCTGCCATGCTGTTAACATAATTGTAAGCACCTTGAAAATCCTCTTTGAGACAAGGAGGGGCATAAATAAATAAACAGCACTGCTGTCTGTCTGTGTGGTAAGGTTGGCTTTTTTTTTTTTTTTTAATGCCTCTTCCTTAGTGCAAATCATCCCAGCTCTGTGGGAAGATTGCGTGCTGCGGAAGCGCAGGGAGAAGATGAGGCACAATGTCAGCCTCAGCGCTCAGAGAGAGTCGCTGGTAAGAGCTGTGTGTGGCCTCTTCAACACACATAAAGGACGTATGTGCCCTCTCCTTCCATGGCACATGCCCCCCACGTCCTTTCCTCCTGGCCAGCTCTTCCTCTTCCACAGGACTCCATGCTGCGGGCCTTCCCTCGCCCCCAGCCCCTTAGCCACTCTCAGCGCCTCCTGGGCC